CCTGCCTTCCCAGCACCGAGTCCTGTCACCCCGCAGTGCTCGGGTCCTGCTCTGGGTCCTGGTGCTGCAGAGCCAAGTGCTGCCGCCTCCCTGCTGCGTCTGCAGGACCAGGAATGTGCGTTGGCCCCTCGCCTACGGCTCTTTGCTGCTTGTGGCTTCCTGCGCTTTGCAGAAAGAAAGGGAGGTAGGGCTTGGGTCTGCTCTGCGTAGGAAAGCCCTGGCAGCTCCAGCCTGGACCAGTGCAAGGAGGCATTTGCTCCAGGCTGGAACTCATCCCAGGCCGTGGAGGCCAAAGGCTGCTCCCCCAGCCTACACACATCTGTGCCATGTTGAGATGCTCCAGTTCAGAAGCTGACTTGTCTGATAGCAGACACAGCCTCCCCCCTGCTCCTGCCCCTGCTGCCAGCTGGCTGCTGGCTGTGACCGGGGAGACACACTCTCATAAAAAGCATTTGCTGATCAGAATGGGACACTTGGACAAGTTCCTCCTCTGCCTGCAGCACAGCCAGTGCTGCCAGGAGCGCAGCCTGCTGTGCTTTCCACCCTGGTGGCAGCAGACTATGTCCAGAAAGCCAGCAAAGGTTGCTAAGGGAAGCAAGCTCGCTTCCAGTAAGCAGGAGACTGCAATAGGTTTATGCATGCTGCCTGCTAGGGGCAGTCCCAACTGTCACCGAGGTATCGGAGTCCAAACCCCTGAGACTCCATCCCTGCCTGCAGGGTCTGTGCCTGCTGCAGTGCTCATTCTGCTCGTGCTCTGGATGCACGCTCCCCAGAACAGCACTGAATCACAGCCAGCAAATCTGGGAAGTTTCTCTTCAGCCTTTCTAGAGCTCTTGAGCTAAGCTGGATGGGGTCAGGATGAGCAGGGCAATGCCAGGAGCCGCTGCCCTCCCTGCCTTTGCATGAGGAGGTGCTTCCCCTGGGAGCAGCCTCCTCAGGAGTGGAGCCCCCTACATCCCCCCATGGCTCTGCACCATGATCCATCACCCCCAGTGCCCTCCCCGGTGTCACCAGCTCCGCGTGGGCCATGCTGATGGTGTGGGGTGTGTGGGATGCATGGGGGGCGTGTAGGGTGTGTGGGGTGTGTGGGGTGCATGGGGCTCAGGCTGCTGCAGGCAGCGCAGCCCACGCTGTGTTCTGCAGGAGGACGGCACTTGGGCTTTGTGCAGAGACGCTCTGGTGGGAGCACCGGCATCGCCGTCCAAACATGGCACCATGTGGGACTGGCAGGGGGGTGCTCCGCGCCGCCGG